ACACACGTTCCCACAGGTTGATGTGGGCGCTCGGAGCCTTCACCCTGTCTTCCTTCGAATCCGTCAGGAGCAGATGAAGGCTAACCTGACAAACATCCAATATTACCAGCAGCTGCCTAGGCAAGGATAATTAATACAGCCGGCAATTTGGCGGAGCTATAAATGTCCTGACGCTGAGACATCAAGGGCTGACTGACAGAGAAACTATCATTAACAGAGAGGGCAGGAGGGAGACAAAGAAAGGAAGAGGGAGAAGCAACGATAATCCAGGAAACAGAACAGATCTGTCTGCGACACACTAAGAAAACCAAACGTAATTATCACCGTCAAAGGATAAATCCACTTTAAAGACAATCCTTTGTTCATTTCCTGCATAGTTGATGTTAGCTGACTGACTGTTTGGAGCACTTCCAAGGCTGATATATGTAAACTCTTCATGCTGAGTAACTTTACCAAGGAAATAAATAAAATAAAATCAGGTAAATTCAGCAGCACAATTTGGTTTTAATAATAAAAAAAAAAATCTAAAGTACTGACTCCTAAATGTAATTTTAGCAATAATTCTCTTCACATACGCTGCCTGACTGGCATTTTCTTCATGGTAATGGCGCTAATGAGTGTTGCCTACGTAGGACTGCCAGGAAGAGACACAGAGATAAGTGGAATGGAAATGAAATTCACAGACTTGCAGAAATGCCAGGCAAACTAACAGTTGGCAATTTAGACGGTCTATTATAGCAAATACCAGTAGTAGAGATGTGGTTGTGTGGCATATGGCTCCAATACTGGGTGGGTAACAGGTTGAATTTATCTAAACTTAGAGGTGTACAATTGAAATTATTACCAGAATGGGAGGTCTTACCTCCCCAGCCAGAACATGGAGTTTACAGTGGCTCAAATAATTATTTGATTCCACGCTGAATTTGTAAGTTTGCTCATTTACAAAGTAATAAACAAGTAATAATCATCGTGTTTGTTTCATTTTAATGCAGAAAGACTATCAGCCAAAAACAAAACAAAAACCATATAAGCTGACTGACGCCATGGAGTGAAAAAATATCAACCACCCAGAATTCAGATTCCCACATATTGTGTGCCTGCCACAAATTACAATCAATTAATTATAGATCTCAACTCATTTTGTGTATAAAGCCCACGTCCATAGAACCATTTCATTTCATTCCAGCCTCTCCACCACCATGGACAAGACCAAAAATGTCAAAGGACAGCAGGGACAAGATAGAGCTGCACACACCAAAAACACCAGCAAGAAGCTTAGTGAGAAGGTGACAACTGTTGGTATGATTGAAGAAATATAAATCTGATCATAAATCGCACTCATACAAGATCTTGACTCATGGGGTGAGGATGATCATAACAAAGGTGGTGGAACGACCACAGAACGGCGTAATGGATTGGAATCTTGCAGCGCCTGCACGATCCCCCTGCTCAAGAGGGCACATTTAAAAGCCCCTCTTAAGTTTGAATCAACCAAAGAACAACAAACACACAGTCAAGCACGGAGGTGAAAACATTATGCTTTGGGGTTGTTTTTCTGGTAAGGGTACAGGATGACTTCACTGCATTGAGGGGCCAATGGATCTTCAATGGATCTTCATCCCTCAGCCAGAACACTGAAGAGCACAAACATACCACCAAAGTTACAAAGGAGTGGCTAAAAAAAGAACATTAAGATCATGAGTCGGGCTAACCATTCTTTAGACCTCAAACCTACTGGAAAAACTGTTGAAGGAGCTAAAGCTTTAAGTTGCCAAGCAGCCGCCAGTAAACCTAAAGGATTTACAGAGTTTCTGTGAAGATGAGTAGGCCAGAATCCCTCCTGAAATCTGGTGACCAACTACAAGTTTGAGTAACTACTCAGCTATGCTTCGCTTCGAACATATTTATTTCACTCAATGACATGCAAATCAATTTTTAACTTTTCCCCTACTGTACATTACCACCGACTGTGTTACAAAGTGGTGCATGACAAGCACATTGCTTTATATGTGGATGACTTAAAACTGATGTTATAAATGTGCAAATGTCCACGTTCGGACATTTACCTTTGTTAGCTGAGCATGTTGTTCATCAAATTAGCATTGACTGTTCAGTGTTTAACATTAACACTGGAGTTCCAACATATTAACACAGGTGCAGTTGGCTAGATAACAGGCAACATGTTAAAGCTAATTCAAATTGTACTGCTCTGTAACAATCATATTGCCTTCATATATACTGACACTATATGAGGGTCTGGATCAAAGGACTGAACACTGCAGATCCACAACATGTGCCTACACACGATTTGAATAAAAGTGCCCACATGCATTCACACCCGCTCTAAGAGACCGAACAGCAGAGCCAGAGCAGCCATGTCTCCTCCTGCTCATCTGTGGCCTATGTTAATATGATTAGACTGGATTATGGTAATGTGCTGGGGGATCTGGTGGGTGTGGGGCGATGCCTTGCTGCTCTCGTTTCGGGGAATAGTTAATTGGTTGGGCTGCTTTGATGTTGTGGTGATGAGAGAATGGGGTTGGTGGGAAAGGCTGGCAAAGGCGCTCTACAACTCGAGCCCATTTTATTTTTGGCCTATGAGGGATCTGTGCTGGCAACTGGTAAAAAGGAATGAAACCTGATGAAACCAATGTGCAGATCTGCAGCTGAAACACTGTGAATATTCAGATGAGTGTGGGAGAAACGCGAGCCATATTTGAATTCTCTGTCACTTTACTGTGGCATCTAGAGTCAACTGTTGATCTCTGTTTTTACCAAGCATCGTTTGTGATACAACTAAAAAAAGTATTTTTATTTTTAAATGTATGTATTCTTTTAAAATCTGGCACCTGAAATGTCAGCATATTGATTGAGTGCTGTGGATATTCAAAGCATATAACCGTCAGTAACAGATCTTACCTTTCACTAATAAACCGTAAGACTAATCCAATATTTTACCTGTAGTCATGAAGTCATTTTCAAATAGCAAGCTGATGAGTTCAGGGTGCAAACAAATTGATAATTTCGCTTTAGCAGTTTTTTTTAATCTAAACAGTCACAGCAGGAATAAAAATCCGCTTCACTTTATTTACAACTGTGGGGTCAAGACTTCTAAGTGTTTTGTTCTGGCCTCACCACAGAGAGGGCTGGCAGGTGTGCTGCCTGTTGAGGCAAAACACCTGCTGTGAGGTTAGGCTGTACAGATAAGCATACATTTACTTTGTAAATAGTATTCAAATAAGTATTAGAAAGTAGGCCAAGCCTGCTCGCAGCTGTGTTGACTGGCTGATACAAACCAAGATCGTTTTTCATACAACTTCAGCTTCCTTTTTAAAAAAAAGCAAAACTCTTGGTTGGTTTTGCATAAAGTGGATTGTTGCCACAGTAAAAGTGGATATACATATGGCACATAACATCAGGGTGCAAGATGCTAGCAGGCGGGGAATACATGGAACGCCATAACTAAGTGCCATAATATACAGAAGCATCTGTGCTGAGTATGGCCTGGAAGTCCCCAGGTCAAAATGGGAGACACCAATGGGGTGGAGAATGGTGGAGCCTGTTGGACTTCCAGATACAGACGGACAAACTGGTGGTGGCTAACCATTTTTGGAATAAAAACAAAGATGGAGTTTCATAAGTAAAAATCTTGCAATTTTATTTGCATATAAAGGCAGCTAAATATATCACAATGAACTGAAAGAGAGAACTAACATTTCCATGAAGAGGGATACAATCAGAGAAAGAGCGAGAGAGGAACAGAGCACGAAAAGAGCATTTACAGCGGCAAAGTTGAGACAACTATTGGCAACTTTTTTTTTTGTGCTAGCAAGATTGCATTTACACACAGTGCAAAATTAGAAAAAAAGCAATAAAACACAAATACTATCAAATTTACACTTTAAAGGACAACTTAACCATGTTTAGGCAGGTGTGTTGTTGGGAACAATCAGCACCTGTTGGATTGTGACAAATTTTTCCTCTCTCATCCAAAATAAACATCTACCCTACTGGGAGAATTGATACAAAAATCATTAAAGAAACGTCTCAAGAGATTTTTAACGAGAGAATTAAAGAAACATGGCAAACATACAGGTGCATACAGAAAAAAATGCACTTTTTTTGTCAAACAACTTTTAGTACAGATGTTTTACAACATGAATATATAATATATATATTTTTATACATTACATTTTCCAAATCAGATCAGAAATCCATAACGGGGCAATACAAAGGGAATTTTTCCGGCTGTAACTGGATAGTCTTCTGTCCCTGCGTTGGTTAGGTGTTGTTTTGCGGGGATGATGGGTAATAAATAAGGACTTTTTTCTCTGAGCTTGCAGAGAAGGGGGGCTCTAGCTGAGAACATTAAAGCTAGTTTAAGGCAGCGTCCCTGTCAGCCAATAAGAAAAAAGAGGAACTGACGAGAGGTTCGAAACAAACAAGAAGAACCCAAATATGAAATATCGTGATGACACATCCATGGTATGCATTGTCTGGCTAACACAAACCAAACGTTAAAAAAAAAAAATTATACAAATTCACATAGCATCATTTATCTTACAGATCTGACCATTATTTATCAAGAGCAAGATTGTTTAATCACAAAAATCCCCCTAAAAAGGAGAATACCAGTATCAGCCAGGCTCATAGCTCAGCAGTCCCTCCAAATCTGCACACATTTAGACTTTAAAACATTTTTAATTCATCCATCCATCCATTCACTTCCGCTTATCCTTTTCAGGGTCGCGGGGGGCGCTGGAGCCTATCCCAGCTGTCATAGGGCGAGAGGCAGGGTACACCCTGGACAGGTCGCCAGTCTGTCGCAAGGCTAACACACAGGGACAAACAACCATTCGCACTCACATTCATTTGCACATTCACACCTAGTGACAATTTGGGTTATCCAATTAACCTATCCCCACAAGCTGCATGTCTTTGGACAGTGGGAGGAAGCCGGAGTACCCGGAGGGAACCCACGCAGACACGGGGAGAACATGCAAACTCCACACAGAAAGACCCCGGCCTGATGTTGGAATTGAACTCAGGACCTTCTTGCTGTGCAGCAACAGTGCTAACCACCGTGCCACCCCATTTTTAATTCAAACATTCAAATTTCTGTTGTAACAAACCATGTGGTGGTATGGAAGCCTTGAAAGAGAATATTCCGTACATTTAATTTAGTTAAAAAAGAAGAAGATAAAATTCAATTTGAGATCACAGATTTCTTCCCTGTGGCCAAGTAGTGTTTTAAGAGCGTGCAAGTTGAAAGCATTGTTCTCATCTGCCGTTCTGCACTAAGGCAACATCTTTTTGAGGGATTAATCCTTCCTGTGGCTGACAGGAAGTGGAGTGTGAAATGAAGCTGCGCCGACATAATAAACACTCGACCCTACACAGTCAAAATCAGGACAAAAGAAAGTTTCTTCAGGGATTATCTTTGCTTTGTCAAAGCTGTTTCTCATATTGAACAAAGCTGGAAAGCATTCTGGAGGAAAACGGGCCCTGATATCTGCAACTGTTCTGACTGTGTGCAGATGAACAACAACAATAATAAAAAAAACAGACCGGGACTGCTGGCACAAGCTCAAAAAAAAAAACCAAAACAGAAAACCTAAATAAAAAGCAATGGTATTCTCCTTTAACACTCCCACACACACTCCCACCCCCACCCTGTCTTTAAATCCTCTCCGTCTCACAACAGGTTGGAGAAGATTCAAAGTTGCCAAAGAATCACTTATAACTTTATTTTTTAATTTTTTAATTTTTTTTTAAACTTGACATATTTTTTGAAAAGAAGTTGTTTTTCCAGCCCTTGACCCTCCCCGCCCCCCCATCCTCTGATCTCAGGAGCTGGAAGGGTTGGGCAGGTCGAACACGATAGGGGGGTTGGTGGGCTGGAAGCTGACGGTGCAGGTTGAAGCGTTGATGAATGTCGTGTAGCCGTCTGTCATGATCCCGTACCCTGGGGAGGTGGGAAGGGGAAAATGAGTGCCAGAAATTGTTACGTGATCGAATGTTACCTGAGTTTGTAATACACTGTTTTTACCAAATCAGTCCTTTGTTCACTCAATATACCAATTTCACACACTCAGTTTAGCAATTTGTATGCTTGAATTTACTTTGAGTGTTTCCATGAATTCACAAGGTTCATTTTTCAGCTTTATTCTACTTCTCATCTTGCCACTAATTGCTGTGAACTGTTTGATTTGGGTACAGTTAATATGCAGCGGTTAAACACTTTAGACCACACACATACACACGTGGTCAGAATACGCTGCAGGTTCTTTGCATGTTGCATCAAACAGCAAGACGTTAGCAGCAGATCCTTTAAGTCCTATAAGCTGCGAGTGAGACCGGCAGTGGATCAGGCTTGTTCAAGCACATCCCTCCAGCTATGCCTGCTTTTTTGCTGTGTTACTTCCTTGGACCACAGGCAGCTCGTGCTCACTAATGCTGTGGGAGAGCACCACACAAGCATCAGTGTTTGCGAGATGAAGTTCTGTGACCCACTGCTCCTGCAACCAAAACCTAGACTGCAGTAAGTGATTGTTTAATATGTCACAGCACTTGGCCCGTGGGGTTGGTATGAGTCAATCAACGTTACTTATTGTGTTCTCAGTTAACTGATCATTCGCATTGCCAAGGAAGTTATGTGATTAGTTCTGTTTGTTTTTTGGTCAAGTGGAAATCACAGTAGCTCATTTGTGCTTGTTTGTGTAGGTATTTGTCTTCACACAATGAAGGACTTTGGCTATTCAACCAACACAGCTGCATGTGTGCGCAGTTCTCCACAAAACAACAGCACAACAGCCAACTGGCTGCAGGTCTTCACCCTGAAAAGCTTCACTTTGTAGACTATGGTCTGCAAAAAGCACTAATGTGTTTGTATTGTGTGTTCCCTGGCACCAAAATAGACCAACAGAAAAAAATAGTGGTTATTAAATAAGTAAATGATTACTGTCCAAATTATTATTTTTTTTCCTGAAATTCATGGGCCCTGAATCTGTGCATCCCTAGAAAGGTAAGAAACATTAGATTCATCTTCCTTTGTCTTGACACATTTTAAAATCAACAGAGCACAATTTGTTGATTGTGAGCATGTGCACGTGTGTAAAAGATCCTTTTTCTACACTTGCACTTGCCAAAGGCCACCTCCCCATCATGCAATCAGAACGTATTCTCCTCTGAGGTCCCCAGAGTCAAGGACAGTTAACAGTTTGGGTTTTATTCCCAGTACCTTCGTGTATGCCTCCAAAGGCATGAAGCTTGGGTCGCACCCTTTTCTGGACCGTGTTGAGCAGCTCTACACAGCCAACCCGCTGTAGCTCCTTAGGAACCCAGTCTCGGAAACCTGCAGAAAGATTTCACAGCTGTCAAAACAGTCCTGGTGTTACTGTCTTTGCTTCCATTTGATCAAAACAACTGATACCTGTAACACATCACCTTAAAATAAGCAGCAGAAAGATGTAAGTTAGCATTAATGACGTGAAACCCCAACAAGAACAGCTGAAAAACAAAATGTCTCAAGCGTGAATGTAAATGTGGAAACAAACAAAAAACACAATCACCACCAACATACATGTGCGCACACACATATCACTCTGTACTATTAACTGGACGACTCCATATGGCCAACACTAAGCTCTACAGTAAAAATATCTGTGAATATACGTATATCTCCATCTATCATGTTCTGAACATACAATGGGTTTTTATGTTGAGCAGATTCATGCTGACATTAGCAGCCATTTATCATGAGTGCTGAGATAGTCTCCATGCACAAGGTCAAATAAACTTTCCCTTACAGTTTGAATTACTTGAGTCAGCAGTTCAGAACTACAGGTCAAATCGGGAGTGGACCTTTTTCCCCCCAAAACTTTTTCATCAGATATTAAAATTTCGGTGAATTACTACCAATTCACTCACAGCTTTTATTAACTCAAACTACCAGTTGAGGCCCACTTTTGGCACTGTTTGACCACAATAGAGAAGTCTTATTTCAGAAGAATTATGTAATAGCAGAAATAAAACAACTGTTCATTTACTGGGTTCATATCTGAATTTCACAGCTTTAAAATGTGTCTGATGAATCCATATTTTTTCTCCACACTTGTGCAACACCCCTCTTTTCCCATCTCATTGTTTTGGATCTTCCATCTTTGGAGAATCATCCTAAATTTTCATCTTAAGCTGCCCCCTTCCTCCAGTGCTGCTTTCCTATCCTACGGTCTCTCTCCAGTTGTTCGCAGCATCTGTCACACTGCTGTGAAATCGAGTTTCCATGCAATCAAACAGCCACAGTGGCTGCCGCAACAACAGCAGCAGCAGCAACCCTCCGTAGGCGAGAGGAAAGGAAATCACTCAATAAAGCCAGATGGAAAGCACAAAGAGAAAAACACAAAAAAAACAACACAAACACATAGCAAAAAACAACAAAAAACAAAAACAGGATCCAAACAACCAGAGGGAAAACTAATATATATATATTCACTTTGTTTTTCATGAAGTCAAACACAAACATTGAATTATGAAGCATGTCGGAGTGTTCACTTTAGTTACTGTTGGATTTAGATGGAAACAACATTGATTATAATGTAAGACATGCGGAGATCTGCTCAAAGACGACCTACTGTCAAGCCACCAGTGACTTCACAGACATTTTGAAGAAAGAGCCCCAACTTCATTAGAAACTGCAATGCAGGGGCTGTGATTGGTTAATTGGACTCACCGAGTGGAGGTCCGTGGGTCATCAGGATGTCAATGCCCTCGGGGATGAGGTTCCATTTATCCAGCAGAGACTGTCCTCGAGGCAGGTTGAACCCCCATCCGTTAAACCACGGAGTCCTGCAGAGGCAGAGGGGAAGAGATCATATTAACATCACTCGGGAGAGCAACTGCACCATGATTACGCAAAGCAAAGATGATATCAGAAGGCAATAAATACCACAAAATGTATGCCCCTCTGTGCAACATTACCAAGTCAGTGTAGCAGATAAATGGCTGTTTAATAAAAGCACATCTCATCTTGTGTCCCGGTTTATTCCACTGACTAATATATTATGTAAATGCTACATTTTAACCAGTTAAAAACCAAACCAAGGATTAGAAAAAGGTAAAATAGTAGTAATAACAACTGGCAAAAAGGCTCATACAACGATAATGCAAACTTAAGTGTAAAATGTTTCCAAACTACAGAACAGGATAGGGTTTTTCTTATAAGACGACTCCAGGAAGTTGTGCAACACATAACTACAGTTCAATTTGTCCCATTAAGGCCTCAGTCACATAGGCCTATAGACTGGTCGGCGCCCCTAGCAATGACTGGTCGCTAGGCAAAAACTGAAAAGTCCAAAGAGTGAGACCATTTGCCTTCAAAGTAAAAGTTTCCCCTTTTGAAATGTGGTGGTTTCAGCAGTGAGACCCCAGTTTTGCTGTTTACTAGGGGTGCAACAATACACAAAATTCACGGTTCGGTTCGATACTTTGGTGTCACGGTTCGATATTTTTTCGATACAAAAAAAAATGTTCATGCCTTTTTAATTTGTCATTTATTAAATTTTCACGGCACATTCCGCACCACATCTCTGTGCGTTCATCATTTGTTTGAAGCCAGCTCACCTCCTGCAACTACTTTTCCGAGAATACGTGCTTCTTTTGTGGTTCGGACTCCTGACATTTCTTTGGAGGTGGAGGAACATCACAGTAATTGCTTAAAGGATTGCTTCTTCGACATCTTTAAGAGTTCTAAACAAATGTCTGTCCTCCTCCTGAAAATCTTATGTACGCAAACACGCGTTGCAACTTCTTATCTTGTGCGCGTTTTTTATTTTGACAGCGAATGCGCACCTGCGGACCACTTATGTGCAGCCCTGGTTATTTAGCTCGTCATATTGCAGCCACAGAAATTCATTTTGTCCATGAAACCATAAAGCTGCACTTTCTTTTTGCCTTATAGTCTGATTTGTCATAACTTTTCCGTTTTGTGGTAAGCTTTTCTTTGGCTGTCACTTCTTCACCCTGACCTGTCTTATTTGGCTCAGCAGAACTAAAATATATATCCTGCTGCTTTTAACACGCACTCACATAAGCTCAGCGATTCTCTGCGCGATCAACCTCTCACATGTTTAAGCGCTGCGGGAGATTTCACTTGTCATGTTTGCATAGTAAGCTAACGATTGATAAGACGATGTCAGAGGAATTGGTGCGCAAATTATCATCACTCACCAATCAGTGCTGTCGCTCTCTATACACAGTTCGCGCGATTGCAAAGTGAAAGCAAAAAACAAGCGCAAATTCAAACGCGATTTCAATATGTCACATATTGACAGTGGCTCACCGATGCCAATGACATAATTACCCAGCTACATTTCCGAAAGAATGCAAAAGCATTGACATATATTTTTCCTTCCTACAATAGCCCGACTTTAAGTGAGGAGTCAGTGCATGAATTTTCCAAATCAAATTCAAATTTTATTTGTCATGTACACAGTCATACGCAGTAGATATGCAGTGAATTGCTTAGACAACTGCTCGTGACCTAAAGATAAAAAAGGAAGCTATGAATAAGATAGGAAATAAATTATGAAAAATTAAAAAGGAAGTAGAATTTAACTAGGAAGGAATAAAATATAAATTAAGGTTAAAAATGAAATAACTGTACAACACAAATTAGAATGAAGGGTAAATTTAACTGGGAAAGAATAAGATAAAATATATAAATTAAAGTTGAAAATAAAATAACTGTACAACAAAATACACAATACACAATATAGAACTATATAAGAATGTATGAAGAAATATAAATAAATATATACACAATAACAGCAGCTGTACAAGTATTAACCGGAAGCGACTGGAAAATCGCTAGCCCCGGGACGTCGGGCTAGCGATTTTGCGAGCCCTGTATCTGATTGAGGAATCACTCATCTTTGGAAAAGAGAGTTTATTACAGAGAAATGGCTCTTCCCAAAATAAAAGCTATACTATCGCTTCTTCTGGGCTATATGTCCACAGCATAAGGAGAATCATGTGCTAACGGCTGTCTAAATGACTCGGGTAAAGTTTGTAGCATGCAGTGCTTGTTGTTTTTGTCTGCTTCCACTTGTCTTTGCACTAGATGATGTCGGCGTAAATGTGCAGTCATATTCGTTGTGTTCCCACTAGTCGCTGTCAGCGTTAATCTCGTTGAAATGACGTTAACGCCACAACACGGCAAATCTCCGTTAACGAGCACCTATGGCTCGGACCGTCACCCGTACCTAGTTCCCCCCATGTGAGTTGCTGGCACACATACTGTTCTTAGCCAGACTCGCTACTCAGTCATAGTCACGAACCCCCCTCCCCCCCCACCTTCCCAGTACCCTTTCTCCCCCCCCTTAAAATACTAAGGTCTCCCTTGGCTAGAAGAACTAACAGCTAATGCTCCCAGTTCCCCATGTAATTGAGCATTGCGTGGCACATCCAACATACTGTTTTACTTTAGTCCATGACGCGCTTACCTTCAGGGTCATACGTCACATGAAAACCAAAATAGTTCCAAACGCCAGATCTGAATGAGGGTGGGGGAGGTTCAATTTGCCATGTTGCAAGGAGAGCTTAACTTCTGTCTCGCTAGCTTGCCCTGCGCTCAGTGAATCTGCGTTCGACTACTCCGCCTAGGCTGCACTGTCGAGCGCAGATCCACTGAGCGCTCAACACAGACAGCATCGTCAGAAGGAAAGTTGATAAAATAAATTAAAAATTTTGTATTGTTCATACATATGCGTACCGAACCGAAAGCACTGTATCGAACGGTTCAATATCGATATCGTTGCACCCCTACTGTTTACCCGTGAACATGGGAGTGATTAGTTTGGAGGACTGGAGAAGCTTTAAATTCAAAGGGTCACAATCGCTGATTTGTTCATGTTAGAAGCCAAAATAAATGACTGACTGTGCAGGCCTGGTAGGAGGAAGAAAAAAAAGTGAATTTCTAAACAGCAGGGATCCACATCACATGTCAACCCCCACTCCCTCTGCTTCCTTTCTACAGATTGATTGACAGCAGCCGGGCCACCTCCAGCAGCCTGGATGGGAGTCTGCATCTCTGGGGTGACAGGCAGCATCTCAGCCTTCCCCAGCAGACATAAAGAGCCTCGATCTGGCTGAGTGGGAATGAGGAATAGATGGATGGATTGGATGGATGGATGGAGGGGGTAGAAACAGATGAAGAAATAAAGTGAACTGCACAGGGGTTAGATATAGAAGCAGAGCTGTGGAAACCAAAGGGAGAAACAGAAATCGAGGAGAGGCTGGTTGATAAATTGAGCCTTCATTTATCACAATAGTGGTAATAGCTGAAGAAGGCTGACAACACAGGAAAGGAAGATAGATTATCATCACATAATACCTCAGTATATAAGCTGACCTACTGCTAGAAACCCAGAAAGAAAAAAAAAATCTTTTGATTTTAATTTTAGGGTTTTAGTTCTGTGCAGCAGAGTCACTGATGAAAAGATGACACCATTCCCAGGTTACTTTGGGACAGACTGCAGAGTTTAGACCAGCTTCCTGTCACTTAGCAGTGGTGCTGGGTATGGCATTTGACCGAGGGGAAATCAGGGCTCCACAAACATCAATAGGCTTTGTTACAGTGAAAGATGGACGCTCCAGCGCAGATCAATACCTACTGTTCCAGAGGAGGGCCAAGAGGGGCTAAACAGAGCTAGCACAGACTTGAGATGTGTAAAACATAAGATCACAATCCCCCCGGATCATTCTAAAACACAACTGAGCAACAAAACTACACTGCTGAAAATAAGAGCCTTAAAAAAAAAATCCTATTAATTCACTGTGGTGAGAGAAACAAGCATTATAATGCAGTCTAAGCTCCAGCTCAACCTGTTTGGAGTATCGAGTGTTCTTATGTGCTTGGAAAGAAAAAAAAAAGAAAAGCCAGTGGCGGCGGCAGAAGCTTGCTCTTTGATTTGCTCACTCAATCGTTGCCTCGTTCTCTCGCTCAGTGGAGAGCTGAGAAATGAGGTTAAAAATGAAATGTGAGGAGTGCGCAGGGGAGTGAAGGCCACAGACTGAACTGATTAATTAGAACTAATCACACAAATCGGAGCTAATGGAAGTCTAATGGATTACTGGGAAGACTCGCCACTTCTCCGATGGAAAGAGTGCTGCCGCGGCGGTGTGGACAAACTTAGAAAGCTGGTGAATCAGAGCAGAGCTGGCCTGGTCGGCTTGCTGCACACAGAACGCACCAGCAGAGCATTTGTCTGCCTCAGGTTTTGACTAATAGCGACAAAGCCAAACTTTGAAAAATAGCCAGACACATTGGTTCCCCCCCCCCTCCCCCCTCCAGTAAAATAAATCAAGGTTTCTTGCAGCAGAAATAAATAAACATCTGGACCCTTGATTTTGCTCTGTGTTTCACATGTTTTCTCTCACATAAACACATTCATCTGAGAGATGAAACATAACTCCCGACATGAGCTGTGGATCCAGAGCCAAACTGAAAGGTCCTGACTGAATGCAGTACTGGCTGCTACAGATCGACACCACAATGCCCCCATTGTCGGCTGTCTGCCTATGAAATATACCTTCTATGCAAGTGCATTTGTTAACCTCTGCCAAGATTAATGACATCCCAGTCGCATAAAGGAGAGACTGTTTCCTGCGTGGCTGTGACACAGGTTTTATTATACTGTACTGTTGAGTGTATGTGTGCGTGTGTAGTGGGCAGAGTGCGCATCCAAGAAGCTTCCGAGTAGGATGTGAGCAAACAAAATGTACTGCTACCAGTCTCCTCCCTGACTGCATATATGCAGGCCAATGCATGTGTATGTGTGTACATTCTG